TCCTTACATCTTTGAGTCTACACATTCCACACTTTATCAATCCAAATATACAATCTTTCCCATCTTCCCAAAAATACTTTTTCATCTTTCCCTTGTAATATCAAGCTTAACATCCATTTCTGCCCCTTCTAAGAGTTTATAACTGATTTCTTCTGTAGTGGGGGATATGTCTTGCTTCCAATATCTGGCCAACATCATCCTTGCAGTTGTCAAAATATATACTAGCAAAAATTTATCATTGTAGTTCTAACTCTCCGGTATCATATTTAGTAATGCTATCTCTGGGGTTAATAAGATTTCTACATTCATACTATCCCAATGGAGCCCTCCTTCCTGAGCGAAGACAAAAATGTGTGAGCTGGAGGCTAAAAAAACTGTGAGCTGGCTCACACTAACTCAGCTTAGAGGGAACACACTGGCTCCTTGGCATCACTGTCATTTGTGCACTAATGCGTGTTGTCTCAATCACAGGCAAATGGCATTTAGCCATTTTATCAGGGTCTTTCCACACGGCTTGATTTCTTTACGTTCCCACCTAGAGACTGGCCACATCCGGCCTGGACTGGCTGTGAGGGTCCCCCTAATACGCACGCTCCCTGTTTCCCTGGCAACGCCATGGATACCTCCCCACAGAGAGGCCACTTCCTAGAGCGGCGCTAGCTGTTATCAACCGGAAGTCCAGGAGCTGTGCCTCGCTGTTCTTCCCCCTCGGCCTCTACGGACGAACCAAAGGCCCATTCCCCACCGCTCCCCGCCTGCCTTTCGCCATGTGCCCGGGGAACCAGCGGGCCACTTCCCGGCCGCCGCAGTCGAACCGCTCCCGCCAACCCACAGCCGGGGCCCGGAGGAAAGACAGGAGCCGCATCTCCTCGCGTTGCTGGGCGGGGGGCACCTGACCGGAAGTTGCAACCTTTTCCGGCGGAGGAAGGGGGAGGACGACGGACCCGTTCCCCGCGGCAACGGTTGGTTGTGACGACATCAGAACGAGGCTTCCCCCTCAGCCAATCCGGCAGGGCGGTTCTGTGACGTCGTCGGGGGCGAGCACGTCCTTCGGGAGCTCCTTAAGGCCGCCCAGCAGGGCTTCGCGGGCAGGACGCATGTGCGGAGCTCGAAGGGCGGGGCCTCAGATTCTTGGACGGTAAGCGGGCGGGGCCAAGCTGTTATGAGTTGCGTTAAATTGCGTGG